AGCACAAAATCTGATAAACCCAAGATCATGATAACAAATATACAGCTAAAGCTGGTATCTTACTATCTTAAATAGGACCAAAAAAGAGGGAAAAACAATGCTTGTAATAATTATCAAGGCATGGACTTTCATGCAAACAGAAAAGAGGAGGTTGAAGTCAGCGGTGGAGAGCAAAATTTTTCAACACCCTGGAAAACTTTGGAAGAAGCCCCAGAAGGAAAAATGGGTATCAGCTATTTTTCAATGATTGAACAGTGAAAAACTCTTTGGACCCTGATTAATAGGAGAAAGCAAGTTTTGAGCTTGTCCCTTATGTCCCATGGGGTAATACGATACTGTAAGAAAATAAGAATCTAGATTTTTGGTGGTCCAGATCTAAAGATGAGGTGTAAAGTTCGATATTTTTTTGTTTCCAGAGGGAGGAGCGTCAAGCGTGAGGAGCGGAGGGGTAAAAGTGGGAAAAGCAAATGATGTCTGAATATGGATATTATAATCTGCAACTGCACGCCAAATCCTTTTGTCTTTTTGGTTTTGGGAATACTTTGACTGAAAGGGAAAGAACTCGGATTGGATCCTATTGCCCAGGTGTTAGAATCTGAAGCAGTAAAACGTTGATGTCATGCAACCGTCCACCGTATGGTCCAGATTTCTGACGTGTCGAGTTTTGATTGGATAAGGGTTTAAAGATTGGGGTAGTTTCTGATGCAGGAGATTGAACCTTTTTTTTTTCAACGGTTTTTTACAGAGAAACTGAAAACTTGCCGTTAACGGTAGAGGCGCAATAATGGCGGCGGTTTCCTTCTATCGGTGTTTTCACTCAATCATTTGGCTTTACCAGACTGTTTGAATGTAATCATGGTCTCGTTGATGAAAAGGAAAATGCAATCTTTTTGGAATTATGTAATTAAATTGAGAAAAATGTAATTATTTTGGTTTACTTAACTAATATTCATATAAAAAAACGTATACTTTTAGATATAATGTTTAAAAAAATTTGAATTATTTTTAAAAATTTAAATCAATTTTTATTATTCTATTTCGTTTAATCAAGTCATTATATTTTTTATTTTATAGTAAATAATTTTTTATAATTAAAATTTAATTAATTATTATTAATTAAAATATTACTTATAATTTTATTTTCACATGACATACCATATGGCTATGTTAATATGACATCTTACTATCGATTATGATATTTCAACATACCACCATGTTTGCATCACATGATATAAAAGTAATATATGATAATTTAATTAATAATATTTAATTAATTGTTAATCCTCTATTTAATTCAAAAAAAATATTAAGACATGTTTGAATGTAATAAAAAATAAAAATTTATTTAAAATTTTTGTTAATAATTTATGAACTTAGGTAATATATCTTTTTGTTTTTCACAAATAGTATATCTTTATCAATCAAATTTTTAATCAAAACTATTTTAAATTTTTAAATAAATTTTTGACAAATCTAATTTTATTAAAAAATCGGAAATACATTTATAAATGGAGCAAAAATTTTTGAAGAAAAATTCTATCCGAAATATTCTACACATAGAATTATTGACCGATTCTTTGAAAATAATGGATGGTAACAAATTCATTTTATTTCTTTATGGGTAATTAAGCAATTAGATTAATAAAATACTTCATCTTTTTTTTTCATTTTTCTTTTTGAGAATAAGCATTTCTCATTCTTGTTATGACTACTGTTCCTCTTCTTTATTTTTTTAAAAATTTGGTCATAGTCAAACTTGGGAACATATTTAATATTACTAAGTAGGCTATAAAATTTTATGCATTTAATTTTTATTCATCCTTAAATTGTCCTATTTAATAAAAAAAATTAAAGTTTTGATCTCAAATTCTTCATCCTCTATCAATATAATTACACATGCATACATACTTGGGTTAGGCTTAGGAAATTGGGTTGGGCTAAACAGATTTTAACTATCAAAGTTAATTGGCCCATCATCCAATTGTTTTAAAGCCTAAAATTCAAAGCCTATTTAGCCCATTGAAATAAAGTTATACTTAATTAGTACATAATTTTTTTTACAATTAAAAAAAGGAAGAAAAATAATTAGTGGTCCTTGTTATAGATTTACAAATTCCACCCCAATATTCTTAAATCAAGAATTGCAAGTCAAACGATGGAAGATCCATGCACGTCTTCTAGGCACGTTCAATTAGAATAATGGTAGCTTAATTTTCTAATGGCTTGACTTTTACTTTCTTATTATAAATATATATATGTAAATTA